GTTCAGGCTGGCCTTGAGCTCACTTTGTAGCCCAGGCTGGTCTCCAACTTGCTACGATCCTCCTGTCTCAGCCTCCGGAGTGCTAGGATTATAGGCATGCGCCATCACATTCAGGCGCTTGAGTTTTAAGTCTTAAATCTTAGTCTTAGTAGGTGGGAGAGGATGGCTCATCCCTAATGGGATTGTAGGAAATCTCAAAAAAGGGATGCCAAAAATCCCAAGCCTCCATTCACTTCTTAGGGAAAAATATAAAACTAGCCACTGTGAATCTGTGGTCCCCAACAAAAGGAACCAGGTGTCGTGGTGCATGTCTATAGTCCCAGCACTCAGGAGGCTGAGGCAGGAGGATTGCCATGATTTTGAGCCTAACCTGGACTACACAGTGAGTTCAAGGGCAGCCTGAATTACATAGCGAGGCCCTGTCTCAAAAAAAAAAAAAAAAAAAAAAAAAAAAGGCAGAGCGTGGTAGTGTCTATTTGTAATCCCAGCACTTAAGAGGTTGAAGCAGGAGGTTCGCTGCAAATTCAAGGACAGCCTGGGCTACATAGTGAGTTCAGGACCAGCCTTAAATTCATAACAAAATCCTGTTTCAAAAAAAAAAAAGGGGATCCCTTAGTAGCTGATTTAAACATTTTCCCTACTTTTTAATTTTTTTTTTAATGGACAAGGAATTCTGGCACAAACATTTAAACAATAAACATGTATGCTAGGTGTAATCCCAGCCCTCAAGAGGCTGAGGCAGGAGGATCACTGCAAGTTTGAGGCCAGCCTGGCCTACGTAGTGAACACTAGCCTGAATTTCACAGCGAGAGCCTGTCTCAAAAACAACCCCAAAAAACAAAACAAAAGAAACAAATATGAAGCTGGACATGACGGAGCATGCTTGTAATTCTTATTACTGGGATGGATGAAGCAGGAAGATTGCAAGATCAAGGACTCCTTGGTCAACATAGCTAGACGCTATCTCAAAAATATAAGTAAATAAAATTAAACAGGTTCAGGGCTAGGGAAGTAGCTCAGTGGCACAGCACCTGCCTGGCAAGTGCAAGGCCCTGAGTTCAATTCCCAGAAAAAAAATAAAAATAAAAAAAAAAAAACAGGTTCAGTAAATATTTCTGTCTCCTTTTGTCTCAGACCCACAGTACCAAAAGTCATTCCTGCTGCATCTGATGTATTATTCCAAAATATCTGTATGCATCTACAAATGAAAGTATTTATTACTATTTTGCCCCAGTTCTCACAAGAACAGATACTACTTTGTACCTTATTTGTTAGTGATGCATTTTGAAGATCTTTGTTAGCACATCTTTTCTTGGCGGCATAGTATTCCATTCAGTGGATATACTACCATTAATTCAGCCCGTTCCCTAATGGGGAACACTTGGATTGTTCCCAGTATTTTGCTGTTACAAACAATGCTGCCATGAATAACCTTGTACATAGATCAATTAACACGTGCAAATATACCCACAGGGTAAATTCCAAGGAGTGGCACTGCTGGGTCAAAGAGTATAGCGTTTGTAATTCTGACAGAGACTGCAAACCTGCCTCTGCAGAGATTAAGCCCATTTCCACCCCAGCTGCAGTGTCAAGAGCACCTGTTTTCCCACAGAGCTCAGCACAGGTTAAACTTCTGCTGATTTGCCAATCTCCCGCGAAAAATGGCCCCACAGCATTTTTCTCCTTGTACGTGATGTTGACCACTTTCCCTTTCTGTTTAAGAGTCAATATTTCTTTTTTTCTTGTGAACTATCTATTCATAGCCTTTCACCATTTTTCTCTCATTGGTCTTCTTTTTTTTTTTGGTACCGGGAATCGAACTCATGACCTCAAGCTTGCCAGGCAAGCGCTTATGCCCCTGAGCTACATCCCCAGCCCTCTCACTGGTTTTTTTCTCTGGGTTTTATGGGAAATTTTTCTATAGAAGGGAAATTAGCTTTTGCCTTGATGTAAGGTGCAGCTACTTTCCCATAATATTATTTTAGAAATTCTCTGCCAGGCATGGTAGCGCATATCTATAATCCCATCACTCGCAGGCTGAGGCAGGAGGATCCTTGCAAGTTCGAGACCAGCCTGAGCAAAAAAGTGAGCTCAAGGCCAGCCTGAACTGCGTAGCAAGACCTTGAC